AGAAACTCTAAAATTAAAAAGACTGAAATGAATTGCACAAATTCTGTTACACTGGTAAGATAATCGCTCAGTGCTACAGTGTGTGTCCAGAATGTTCCTGTAAAGCCTCACATGATTGTAGTTTTTTCAAAGATGACTGAATCTGGGGTTTGTGATTGATTCTCAGTGCAATGCTAGGATTAAGGGCACTGGCATTAAGTGTGGGTGGTTGCTGCATCGTCCACTGACTGGATTGGCACTGTCCTAATCCTGGTAGACTGGATACAATATGAGGGACAAAAAGAGGCTTATCTGGTGTTCTCTTGTTGCTTTCACTGCCATAAACTGTTGCTCCTCCTCCAAGTGCCAACCTATCTTGGAGCCTGTCAATATGAACTGAAATGTCTGTAAACTGTGAGGTAAATAAACCTTTCCCCCTTCTACTTTGGGCATCAGGTATTTTGCCTCAGCGATGAGAGAAAAGTAAACACCCAGGCAAGAATTTTGAATGAATTTTTGAATACAGTGCTTTTTGTTTGTTTGTTTGTTTGTTTTGGGGGGAGGTTTTTTGGCAGAACTGGGGATTGAACTCAGGGCCCTTGCACTTGCCATGGAGGTGCTTATTCCACTGAGCCATCTCCCTGGCCCCCTACAGTGCTATTATGATATATCTTAATATTATATATTCTAATGACAAAAATGAATCTTAAAAATATCTGAAGTTGGGATCAGCAGTCTAAGCACCTTACTGGCAAGCACAAGGACCTGGGTTCGATCTCCAGTACTGCATGCCATGCCTCTCTCATGCAGAGTTGACCATGGAAAATGGGCATGGCGGGGCAAACCTGCAACCCCAGTGCTGGGGAGGTTGAGACAGGAGGATCACTACAAGTCTAAGCTTCATAATGAGGCCCTGTACCAAAACTATATATAGTTTTGTCCTTCACTTTGATTTTGCATAATAACTAGTATTTTGATTTGGGGATTATTTTGTGTATCTTGTAGGATAAAGGAGACATTTTATTATTTGGATCTAAAGTCTTTAGCATGAGATAGCTCAGCAGACTCAGCACCTGCTTTGGCAAGTACAGGAACCAAGGTTCAATCCCCAGTCCAGTGTGCCATGCCAGCCCACTCCTGGGGCGCATTGGGCCTTCAACCAAGTCCAGGTGTGGTGGTGCACACCTGTAATCTCAGCACTGGGGAGGCTGAAAACAGAAGGATCACTACGAGTTCAAACTGTGTAGTGAGACCCTGTACCAAATACATAAAATGAAAATAAATAAATAAAAATAAAGTCTTTAGTATGAAAAATGGCAAATATTAAATTCTAGAAATTTAAGATGTAGTATTTGCATCTAAAGTGAGGCCTAGAGAGATAGCTTAGCAGCTCAAATGCCTGCCTGGCATGTGCAAAGTCCTGAGTTCAATTCCTGGTAAAAGAAAAAAAAAAAAAAAAAGAAAGAAAGAAAATTTGATGTATACAAAAAAGACACAATAAATAGAGTAAAAAGTAACAAAGAATAGGAGAAAATATTTGGAAATTGTATATCTGATAAAGGATTAACATACAAAATATATAAAGAACTCTTACAAACAACAACAAAAATAACGCACTTTAAAACTGAGCAAAAGATTTGAACATATAGTCCCCCAAAGAAAATATACAAATGAGCAACAAGTATATGAACAGATACTCAATAAATCTGTAAATACCACATTGTTAGTTTGATGTAAGAAACTGAAAGTGTAAATAAGGACCAAAATGTATAAAACAGGTAACGTAAAATAAGAAGCAGGTCGGGCTGTAGGAGGAGCCAGCGGTCTCCACAGGAGTTAAAGTTCCTCCTAATTTTCGCTTGTTGGAAGAACTTGAAGAACAACAAAAAGAAGCAGGTGATGGTACAGCTAGCTGGGGCTTTGAAGGTGATGAAGACGTGACACTTACGAGGACAGGCATGATTAGTGGGCCACCAAGGACAAATTATGAAAACAGAATAGATAGCCCGAAAGTAGAATGTGTACCTAAATACCCAGAAGCTCCTCCATCAGCTAGATTTGTAACAAAAATTAATATGAATGAATAAATAATTCTAGTGGAATGGTGAATGCACACACACACACACCAGTGTTAGCAAAATGGCAAAATTCATGGAGCATTAATGTTGTACTTCCAAAGCTAAGACGTCTAATGATGTCCAAAGAAAATATGAAGCTTCCACAACCACCAGAAGGACAAACATACAACAATTACTTTTAGTGGATCTCAAACTTGTCTTAAATCAACAACCTTCTACTCATATTAATGTCTTGATTAAATATCACAATGTAAAATACCCACACATTAAGTAAAAGAATTCCAGCTGATAAACATGACCTGGACATTTGTCAGAATATATTTAATAAATATATTAAATTTATTAAGTTTAATATATACCTGATTTCAGGTAACAGGAGGAAAAATGCAGCACAATTGTTCTTTCTCTTGTTGAGGCACTGTCATTGAAATGTGAACCCGGAGTACTCCACGTAGGTTCAGGTTTATAAGGTGAAAGCACGGAAAAAATTGGCAGATGTCAGTGGACCCCAGTGTTTCTGAAAAGTAAAATCTCAAGAAGGAAAAACAAATGGCATGCTTACCCATCTCGCTTAGTGAAAGAGCTGCAGTTTGAAATTGTTCAAAGTAGCAGGTACAATGAATATCGTCACAAATTGTGTTAATCTTTGAAGCAGTGTGGGCGCTGACTACTAGTAGTATCAAAAATATGTTCAGGATTGTTTTGATACCTGTATTTATAATTAAAAAGTTGGGGGAGGGGTCGATGAATTTCTGTCAAAAGCTGTTCCTGTGTGTTACATGTAGCAGACTTGGTAAATATTTGTTTACAGTCTTTGTTAAATAAACCATGCATTTAAGTTTAGGTGAAATCAACAAAAGGAAATAGGTGTATAGATATGTGATTTTGAGATTAGTCTTAAAATGTAAATAAAATATAGAATGTGTCCTCAAAAAAAAAGAAGAGGCAAATGTTCAAATGTGGAGAGCAACAAGGGAGGACAGAGGATGAAAGGAAAGAAGAGAAAAGTAAAAAAAAAAAATTAGAGGTAGGCTATTTTTTCCCTTTCCCTTTTTTTTTTTTTTTTTTTTTTTTTTTTTTTTTTTTTTGGGAAACC